GTCAAACTGACTTTTAGACCGTTTTCTTAAGGTTTRAGCATCCAAACTTGACAGCCACAAACCTGAAAAACGCACATTCAGTAAAATTGTGAAGCCAGTTTTAAATTCAAAGGGGAGAATAATCGATTTTATGAATTCTTATCGAAAAATCTCGTAGAAATATATTATAATTCTCATTATAAAGCTCCTGTCCTGGTATCGTGCCCATCAAGTTTCTTAAATTTGGATGAGCGCGCAACCTTGAGTAAAATGTCTATTGAATGTGGTTTGTTTTTTTTTTCTTTTTCTTTTTCTCCCAAAGGTTCTACCCAGACAGACATGTGGTTTGTTCACATCGACGAATTATTTCAAGCAAATCAAAGGAGGACACAGAGCGTTAGACAGAAACATCTATGGAGGAGAGCTGTTTGAGACGCTCGTCCGAAATCCCGTAAGTTTATTTCCCACGGCCTATCCCGCGGGATGCGCGTAATCGAAGAGGAAGGAAACGTGGTTGGGGGGATGAACGAAACGCCTTCGTTAAACCATGAATACCGCAGGAACGTGGAGAGCTAAGATATGTATGATCGTGTGACCTTTTGTCTTTTGACAATCATGTCGGCCATATCACTTTATCCGGTTTTTGGACCATCAATTCATCTCATTTTGGCACTTCGTATGAGTAGGCGTTAGGTCGACCTGTTCTTCCGAAATGCCACGCATATCTGCTTGCTTCTATACCCACAACTTCCTGAGATCCCAGAATATCTGGTTGTGGTTTCGTGCTCAAATTGTCATGCAGAAATAACTCGTCACGCATTGTATTTCCCCTCAAAATTCTCAGACTTGATGACCCAGAAGAGGTGGRCGTCACGCAGATGTGCGAGGAGATATTTTGCATCACGCACAAGATAAATTGTGTCACGCTTGGAATGTCCTATGAATATTTATTAGCGTAGATGGGCAGGCAGTCACGCAAACGTCTTGCCCAGATAGAAAGRATTCTTGTACACTAGAACTTTTTTGTTGCAAGTTTTAAGCACAGATAAGTTTCACGCAGTGCTCTTTGTGATGCATTAAAATAATCGATTCACGCTTATGTCACGGGAAAACATTGTCACGTAAAGCTGTTACACAGAGACCATTTTCGAGTTCAAAATTACCGCTCCGTTACTTGACTATAGTCTGATTTACTCATGGTACGCCTCGAATCAGTGTCTAAATATTAACAGCGGTAAAGTAAAATTTGCACACCTTCAAACAATACGTACAAACACTTTGGAATTCCATGGACCTGGAATTCACTGGAAAACATGAAATTCTACCCAAAGTCGAGTCTATCCCTGAGTACCAGAGAAGTAGGAACTGCAATATTTGCAGGTAAAAGTTTAATTTTTTTAAAAAGAGCATTCTGACCTTTTTTTTTTTTTTTAACTCTGTTGTCAGGTGATGATTATAATGACGCATATGACAAACTATGCCAACGATCGCCTTGCCCAGTACGCTATTACGAACCTTGTCAAATTCACAAACCGMTGGACGAATATTAAACTGAGACACGCGCCGCCCACTCGATTGGCTGATATATATTTTAATCTGTTTCCTCAAGACAAGACACCATTATGGCAGGTGTGTTGTGCTTCGATTTCATTTATATTCCATGTCGAATGTGATTTGGATTGTATCCCTTCACTTCCTTGTCCTTGCCCTTGTTCTTGTCCTTCTCCTACTCCTCCTTTTCCTTCTCCTTCTCCTTCTCCTTCTCTCACTTATTACTTATCTCTCTCTCCAATTAACATTAGAGTCCATGCGATCATCAACGTCACCTTGAAATTTGGGACAAAGCCAAGACTTGTAACCAGCTCCCCTCGTTCCTCTTGATCGGGCCACCCCACGGKGGCCTGGAACTACTGGAGTCTCTTCTTCACCTGAACCCAGACATACTCAGAATGAACAGCATGAACAATACGTCGGGAGAGGCCGAGTTTTTCAGTAGCAATAATTATTTAAAAGGCTTAGACTGGTAAGTATCTCCATGGTTACTGTCAGCTCACGTGTTCATTTTCGTGAAGGGGGGAACCAGAGAACTTGGAGAAACCCTCGTGGGAAGGAAGAGACGTTGGATTCTAGTTCCCGTTCGCGCCCACCCTCGTGATCCTTTTTTGATATTTATTTTTGATATTTATGATGAATGATATTTATTATCTTATTTTTATATAGCGCTCTTTYCCATATGAATATGTTCAAAGGCACTTGCGTTATTCATATTATTATTAGTTGTTGGTTTCTTTCTTTTTGTTTTGTTTTCTCTCTTTTCTCTTTAGTTTGTTTGCTATTATTGTTTGCTATTGAGAAATTTTGAAGGTCAATAAAATTGTTAAAAAAAAGAGAACAACATCAAACAAAAACAACTCACATATGTGCAAGAATCAAATCAATGACCCAACTTTCAACTCACGATTTATTTTTTGTGGAGGGAAGAAAACCAGAGAACCTGGAGAAAAACCCTCATGGAAAGAGAGAGAACCAAAAGAGAGAGAGAGAGAGAAACACATCAAACAAACTCAACTCGCATGTGTGCAAGAATCAAACCAATGTCCCAACTTTCAACTCACGCTTTTATTTTTGTGGAGGGAAGAAAACCAGAGAACCTGGAGAAAAACCCTCGCGGCAGGGAGAGAACATCAAATCAAAAACACATTCCCTGATGTGGCGTCCGTAGGATTCGGACAAGCGACTCAATGCGTAGGCTGACAATGGATGAAGGAAAAGTGTTTTACCATTTAATGGACCCTTCTTAAAAGTATCGTGGATGAGAGGCTTGAAAATACAAAAGAAATCACACTTTTTCTCGATGGAATTTGCGGCATTTCTTTTGTACTTTTTCATGTTAACCTCGCATTCAAGACAATTTGAAGAAGGGTTTATTAACCTGGACGGCGGATTTTTACGAATTTTCCACTTACCACATTTAATGTTAATTTTTGTTTAAGGTACATGTCGGTSTTTCGTAAACCAACCAGTCCCAACCAAGTGTCTTATGAATCAAGTCACAGTTACTTCACTAGTCAGACGGCTCCTTCAAGAGTCAATGCTTTGCTGAAATCAGCCAAGATTGTTTTTGTCTTGGAAGACCCTGTCATGATAGCATATGCCCACTACAAGGTAAGAATACCTTAGAACCTGTATTTAACGACCAACCTCTATATACCGACCAGTTGTTAAAGTCCCAAAGAGGGGTTTTTTCGCTAATTTATACCTCTATTAAGCGACCAACCTCTATTTAGCGACCATTTGTGAAAGTCTCAAAGAGGGTTTTTACATTAATTTATACCTCTATTAAGGGACCAACCTCTATTTACCGACCTGTTGTCAAAGTCTCAAAGAGGGTTTTTACGTTAATTTATACCTCTATTAAGCGACCAACCTCTATTTAGCGACCATTTGTCAAAGTCTCAAAGAGGGTTTTTACATTTATAGTACACTCAACAAAATTACTCGACTCTGATTGGTCGAGAGGAGTACAATTATAGCGTTAATTGTACTCCGTAAGAGTACCGAATTAAGTCGCTATGGCAACACGGCCAAAACAATGTCAAAACAATTATTTTCTATCACTTTKTACTTAAAAAACATAAATAMAATTTTAAAGCCGTAAGAACTAATCTTTTTTTTGCATTTCAGTTGCGCGATGGACTGAATAGACAAAGATGAACGGCATCGCTTCGCATTTTTTACTGAAATTTTGTTGAGTGAACTATAAACCAAAAATCGCACGATCTCGAGTAAAATTTGGAAATTAATAGACGCGAGTAATGTTTTGAAAGTTCTTTAATTGCACTACTTTACTCGTGTCTATTAATTTCCAAATTGTACTCGATATCGTGCGATTTCCTATACTAATTTATACGTCTATTAACCGACCAACCTCTATTTACCGACCTGTTGTTAAAGACACAAAGGGGTTTTTTATACTAATGTATACCCTTTACTAAGCAATCACACTCTATTTTTCGGCCACTCATTGATCATGTAATACGTGTTTTATATTTTAGCATCTTTTTAAACGCCACAAGTTATCGCATACCAAGTTYACCGAGATAGTCACCAGCCAAACCAACCCAGACCTACTACGCATGCGCGCRGCTATATTACGCCCAGGCCACTACGCGGAACACATCGGACGATGGATGAAACTCTACGATCCCAAACAAATGCTTATTATTGATCTAAACGATTTGGCCAACCAGCCAATCAACGTCATGAATCAATTGGAGGATTTTCTTGCTTTGGATCATCCAATGAAATACGAGAAGCGATTGAGGTAATTAAGTCACGGCAAATAGTCGTAATGAATAAACTTTGATTTTTATCAATTCCTGAAACAACCTCTGGGCTGATCTAAGTCAGGGCATGGCTAACTCACAGATCCAACCCTGGAACAACCTCTGGGCTGATCTAAGTCAGGGCACGGCTAACTCACAGATCCAACCCTGGAACAACCTCTGGGCCGATCTAAGTCAGGACATGGCTAACTCACAGATAACCCTGAAACAACCTCAGGGCTGATCTAAGTCAGGGCACGGCTAACTCACAGATTGAAACCTGAAACAACGTTAACCTTCTGGGCTGATCTAAGTCATGGCATGGCTAAATCACAGATCAAACCCTGAAACAACCTCTGGGCTGATCTAAGTCAGGGCTCGACTAACTCACAGATCAAACCCTGAAACAACCTTTGGGCTGATCAAAGTCAAGGCACGCCTAAATCACAGATCAAACCCTGAAACAACCTCTGGGCTGATCTGAGTCAGGGCACGGCCAACTCATAGATCGAACCCTGAACAGTAATCCACTTGGTAACCTTTATCTGCTCTTTTTCCCCAGCTATAACGAGGAAGAAAAAGCCTTCTGCTCCTCTACATCCTCAAACAGCACTAAAGCCTGTTACAGATACGAGAAAACTGTCCCTGACACATTAGACGAGTCCACGATTAAATACKTACAGCGGTATTACGCAATACACAATAAGAACCTTATGAGAATCAATCAAAAGATTGAATTTAAATTACCCAAATGGCTCAAAGACTTTGGGTGAGGTTCAATCTGCTCTAATAATTAATTTATTATAAAATTTTATATAAAAAAATTTGCAAAAAAATGATCGAGGTTTGTGATGGTCAAAGAAGTACCAAGTAAGTGGTCAGCGGTTTTTGAGCAAAATTACCAAGCACTAGATCACGTGGTCATTTGCCGCCATTTTGGATTTGCACAAGAAAAAAATTCCAGGGCTTGACTTAACGCGAGAAAATTTACTATTATAGTRGGATTTTTCGGAACAAATCTTTCTTATACTTTAACTCTAGCTGTCTGTTAATTAAATGTGCAGTTAGATCTGAATTCAATATGGACGCTAGACCACGTGACCTATGGCAGAGATGACGGTTTCAAAAAATATTTCTTTAAAAACGGGCTATTTTTTATGCTTATTCCCCACTTCTATCACATCAATGCTGTAATGAGTCTGTGTACGTGTTGCTTTTGGTAAGGTCTGTCTCTAGTGCGCAGACCTGTCTTTATACTTCTTATTAACAGTGTTTGTCTTTTCTCTCTCCTATCACATCAATACTGTACTGAGTCTGTATATTGTTTGTGATCATGTCTGTCTCTAGTGC